TTACAATGTATTTACAAGTCAATTAAATTATCAACAACAAAACCAAGATCATCAAAACAATCGATGTTATGACCCAAAATAGTGAAACCAACAATCAATGAGTTTATTAAAATCAAGTTCTATTCCTTCAAAAGCGCGATTCTTTCTCTCTTTCCAAAGGACCCCATATTATGGTGAGTGGAATTAATCTTAACATTTTTCTGTTGCTGCTGAAGCCTTCCCATGCTAGGAGTTCAGCATGAATGTTGTTGTTCATGACCAAAGACAGCCCCATACGACTAATAATGGTGTTCCACAAGTACTGTGAAACTGAACAGCCTAAAAGCAAGTAATTACAGGTTTCAAAATTGTTTTTACATAGGAAACATCTATTGACAATCATGAAACCTCTTTTCATTTGGTTGTCAAGGGTAAGAATGTGGCCTTTTGTAGCTTCCCAAGCAAAAAAATGAAATTGTTGGATTTGCACCCGATTTCCATTTTATGTTGGAAGGGAAGCTAATGTGTTCTGATTAAGATTGTCCGTCAAGTGGTTATAAAGAGATCTGACAATAAAAATACCATTTTTTGGAGAATAGTCATTTTAAATTGTCCTTCCTGTTATAAACTTGAATTGAAGATAGAATCTGTAACAAGGATAAATATTCCTCTAACTCCCAATCTTGTAAATTTCTGAATACTAACACCTACCAAAAGCCCTATTTGTCAAGAACTACAGCGTTTTTAACCAAAATATTTTTATTCCTGACAATAATATAAATAAGAGGGAATCTTGTTTGAAGACTAAACTTGTCAAGCTATGTGTCAGACCAAAATCTTATTTTGTTATCATTCCCAATAACCTAACTAGAGTGTTGTAGAATGATATTATTTAGTTTCCAAATGTTCTTCCAAAGGCTCGAACCAAATGTGCTATTTTTAATTCTAGATTGATCATGATAGTCACTGTTGAACTATTTGCACAATATGATTGATTTTCATATACTATTACCTTCATTCCAGAATTTCCAAATCCATTTCCCAAGACGACCTTATTAAGTGTAGTTATAAATCTCAAGGCCAATCCACCATCTTTAATAGGTTTCTTGATTTCTTTCCAGTTTACAAGGTGGATTTTTCTACTGTTACTATTGTCATCTCCCCAAAGAAAGTTGCACTGAATGGATTCCAAAGTGTTGGCAACACAAGTTGGAATGCTGAACACCGAAATGAGATAAATAGGGAGATTAGATAGGATACTTTTAATGAGAGTTAAACGTCCCCTCTTTGATAGGAATTTCCTCTTCCAGTTGGCAAGTCGGTTTTGAAACATATCAATGATTGGATTCCAATAATACCATGGAGGTCACACATTTATTTTTCGAGGACAATACTTTGATTTTTTGTCAACCGGAAGTGGGAATCTTCATGCATTTAAGCTGTGTTCTACAATTTTTTCAGGCTGTCTCGGGAATGGGCATAAATTTAAGCAAATAAGAGATGTTCAAATTAGGGGACAGAGGTGATGAAGCTAGGCCGGCCAGAGTGTTGGGTTGCAAGTTGGTTAGACTCCCTATCAAATATTTGGGCCTTCCACTTGGGGTCAAATACAAGGATCTGAAATCTTGAGAATCGGTGGTTGAGTTATTTGAGAGAAGACTTGCAGTATGGAAAAGAAATTTTTTGTCAAAGGGAGGCAGATATACTTTAATTAGAAGTACCCTTAAAAATCTCCCAATATA